AGTCTCATGAAGATCACATCCATCGAAAGGACCTTTGAAGCTCGCAACTTTTCAATTATGAAAAAGGTCCTTTCACTGGATGTGAAATAGTCGCTTCCTCATAGTCTCATGAAGATCACATCCATTGAAAGGACCTTTGATGCTCTCAGGTTTTCGCTTATGAGAAAGCCTTACCTCATTCCAACAGAATTCGGAAGTCAGTAGAGTTTGGTTTTGTAAGGTGATAGTTCTGGATACTGGGACATCCAGGTAGACATTCTCTAGATATAAACTAGATGAGAGCAGGCATACTAGAGGAGACTGCACCTCTGAGAACACTGAGAGATAACTGGAATAAATAGATCAATAAAACTATTAGAGATAAGTAGAGGTGGTACGTCAAGAACAGATCTAACTCACTAATCGAATAATTAAACAAACAAACAAACAATCAAACATACAAAGAAAGAAAGAAAGAAATAATAAATAAATAAACAAACAAACAAACAAACAAACAAATAAATAAAAAAATAGGATTTAGTAGTGGTATTTCCACAGAGTGGCTCTTCATCCACTGAAATTTCAAATGGGATTTAGAAGTTGATTTTGCGGAGGAAGGAAAGCCGGAGAACCCAGAAAACCCTTGCAGCACAAGAGAGAACCAACAAGCAACTCTACTCACATCCAACAGCGAGCCTGGTGGGACACGAATCCAGGTCGCATTGGTTAGAGGTGAGCGCTACTCTAGTTAATTCTTTCGAAATGGAATTTAGTATGTTGGGTTTCGTGGAGAGGTAAAAAAACAGTGAAAATCCTCAAATCAAGAAAGAGACCCAACAACAAGTCCAGCAATCGTATTCAAGATTTTAGGTGAGATTAGTGCACGGCTACCGCTACATCATCCATGATTACCCATATTTCGAGTGAGTGAGAAATGAAAGGCGAGAAGCACGGTAACAGTGCAGAATAGCCTTTGAACAGTTTTTGTTGTTAAGGTGTTAAACAAAGTATTGCCAGATTTTTGTACAATCTAGCAAAATCATTTCCTTGTGAAAATTATGACATTCTGATAAACACCTATTATTGTTTTTCAGTATTTGCTCTAAAAATGGTTGATGGCCAGACAAGAACCCACGTTTTTTAAGATCCAATATCATGTTTTCATTTATGGAAACAAAATTTTTAAAATTTGATTGTTTTGCAAATTTTCAGCAAAAATTACGAGATAAGAATATTAAAATAAAAAAATATAGAATAAAAGCTGCGAATTCTGTATAAAAATCTATTATGCGATCCACGATCCACTTAACCGAAGTCCAGTCCATTCCATTCATGCACGGTTCCGGATTTTCCAAAATAAAGAAACTCTTAAAATTCAGAAACTAGACACATAAATCAAATTTTAGAGGTTGGGCATGTTATTGCTGTATATTAAGATTATAAATATTCATTTAAAACCTGAAAATTCGAGAAAAAATTGATCTAAAATCTAATACACCTAAAATCTAAGACCGAGTGGAATTGTGGGGACTAAGTGTTTTCTCGTTAAAAAATAAAAAGACACTCGTTAGCGCAGGTTATCGCTCAAAGTAGGCATATTTACATATAACATGTTGCGAACTACTAAATAAAATCACAAAACAATTACCAGATTTCAGATTTCCGACCGACAACGTTTTTTGAAATAGGCGTATACACCCAATTTAAAATAGCGTTGTCGGCCGGAGATCTGGAATTGGCGAACCGAGACTAAACGGAATTTTTGAATCTTTATGTTTTACAAACATCGTGTAATAAAAACGCATCTTTTACTGACGTTTCGACCATTAGTACTCCAAACCGTCGGAATAGAGGGACTGTAAGGAAGATCTAACTTCCTATCAGTTTTTTTTATTACACAATGTTCAAGCTACACTAATGCAGTTCAAACTGGTTTGCTCGCTAATTTTCCACCATATGAAGAGACTTACTTTGTTTTCCCAATTTTCTCTTGACATTGAAATACGGTTCTAACTCTTCGACAGTGAGTTGGTCTAAAGGTAACAGACACAACGGCGCTTTCACCTGCGCCTAGTGAACCAGTGGTCGGGACAAAATCAAACTCTGAGGTGAGACTGCTGCTAGAATTCTGTGAAAAAAAGTCAAAGTCAAAATCTCGATTTTATGATATAAAAAAGTATGCCTTTTTGAAAACAATGAGCTTGTATACTATTAACTAAACAGTGCAGAAGACCATAAATGCTACAAAATTTATTCATTTGGGATTTCTCATTCTTTTTTTCTCGATGATTGACTTATCTCTTTGTTCATTCCTTCCTCCCTCCCTCCCTCCCTTCCTTCCTCCCTTCCATCCTTCCTTCCTTCCTTCCTCCCTCCATCCCTTCCCTCCTTAAGTGATTGATTTAGCTTTATTACCATAATTTTTCAAAGTTATTTACAAGATAATATTGAAACAGGTATTGGTATTCCTTTTTCCTTCCTTCCTTCCTTCCTTCCTTCCTTCCTTCCTTCCTTTCCTCCCGTTCCATCTACTTCCCCCCCCCCCCCTTGCCCCCTTGTAACATAATCTTTGTCCACATTTTTTCATTAACTCAACATATGATCTCCTTGGAGCTACTATATACTCACATTACACTTCTGATCCTTGCCATCAGATATACAGTCAACACACTCTTGCATGCTCCATTCAGCCGTAATATTAGACTTGTTAGTAACTGAAATCTCCCTGGATGCACTCTCACCGAGGCGGACTAGACCAAAGTCAAGATCAAGGGTATCCATGGTAACCTCTGGTCCCTGGAACGAAAACCAATGTTGTCCCATTTCAAATGAACATAGTTAAATCAGTTTGGGATAAATATAGATAATATAGTGCAGCTTTGGTATATAGGCGGATTGTTATATCACCGTGATTATTTTCATCATACGAATTCTGCTTCAGATCAAAGTTATATTTTCTCAATGATGAAAACTTGTTTTAATCTTAGTTTTTCATTCATTTTTCTTCGTTTGTTCGTCTGTCCGTCGCTTTTCTCGTTCGTGCGCTTGTTCATGTCTCACAACTTTTCTTCCCGAGACTAACCTTTTTTGCAGGCGTATTTTGGTATTTTGATTTCCATATAAACTTGGAATAAATTCAAATACAAACAAAAGCCTCGAAGAACGAGCAATTTAGTGGGGAAGAAAGTTTCTTTAATGAAATCACTGTCGCGTGATTGGTTGCCAATAAATTCTATTGGCTCTGTTAGACATTGGGAATGGAATGTTCCGCTCGTTTGAGCAAGCGTTCTGGGGAAGGATTTTTACTATCCCGAGACCTGATGTCACAAAATTTACGGTTAAACAGATGAATTTACATACGAAATTTAGACTTATTTCTTTACATTTTTTTCACAAAAATACCTACCTCAAAGGAAGCCCTGACGTGAAGATAGACAGGGGATGACGAGTAATCCACGTGACAAAACAATGTCTGGTCCAGAACACCAGGCACGTGACTAGTTATTGAAACGCTAAATTCTCTTGGCTGATTGGCTGCTGTAAAGAAAAGAAAAATCAGTAACACTTACGTTAGGAAATGAATCCTTGTGCAGAGTTCTGGAAGTTAACTTACCAATGACAGTGGACTGTGGTTGTATGTTGATGGTACATTCATCAGTACTCATATCCTGCCATTCTACTTGTACATCTGAAACACTATGATTATGGGCCTGAAGAGATGATGCCAAATAATTATCAAACAGAGGCCAGAAACACAGTTTATCATTTAATTCTGCAAACAATATATGCGTGATACGGGAAAAGACCATGCCTGACATGAGACCGTATCAGCACTTGTCATTTGCTCGGTACGATAGAGTTTAGAGGGGGTTTGAGCATTTCTTTGCTGAATTAAATTATAAGCAACTTATCAGTGGGCTAAGCATCTGATATGGCTGTGTATTTTTACTCGTCACTTGTATTTTGGCTCGCCAAAAGGCGATATTCTCTATTTATTAACTAATCTTTCTAAATAATCTTTTTTTGTAACTTTGTTTTACTTGACACACAGAAATATCATTACAAGGCACCCGATTGGCAGAAACTTTACAGTCTTTGATTTTTTTCAGAGGCAAATATTTTTTCACTTACCTTGAATTTGTAGGTATTACTAGTCGCCATCAAAAGGGTTCCTGGGATAGTAAGGGTACCCGGGTTGACCTGCACATGGAATGGCTGGGGGAAAATAATTAAATTAAAAGTTAGAAAAGCATTGAAATGCAGAATGTTGTAGTAGGAAAAGGATTGCTATAGCCCTTCTCTTCCCTACTCAGTATGTCCCCTGGAGTACCATTTTCATGAATACTTTAGCACATTCCCAATGCAGTTAATTTTGCAAGACAAAAAAAAGATGGAATCTTAGCTGGATTGGGAATTTCTCGAAAAGGTCTAAGACATCTTCAGCCTTAGCGTGATGCTTTCCAATTCCAGACCATGTGCCATTCCCTTGTGTATTGTCTCCTTGTTTAAGTTATATCCGTATTTATATTTCTTCTTAAGTGTTAACAATAAACCAAGAAACACTATTCAAAGGAATGTCACGTGGTTTGAATTGGAAAACGAGCGTCCAGACAACGAGAAGTTTGATATGCAGTTGTCAGGACTCGATCAGGGTCGTAGCGAGGTCTCGATTACAGGGGGAGGGGGGGGGGGGATGTACCTTTTCCCTGCCAAATCCAAAGGATTCCCGTATGAATTAATTAAATTTTGTGTCGAAAGCTAACTTTGACATACTACGCTAGTAAGAGCGATAGAAGTCATTGTTATTACATATGTGCATATGATTTCCGAGGTTTTTTTGTGGTTTTGCCCTATAGAAATTTACCTGGCTGTTTGCCTTGACTTCAACCTCTATGGCCGTCACATCACGTGACACAGATGTAGCATTCTCCTGACCATGGACAGGAATCTCCTCCAATACAAGATGAGCAACACTGTGAAACGAGCCAATCTGACAATAAAAAATTATCAATTGTAATATTGCTACAAAGAAGGCGCGTTTTGATTGGATGGCTACAGCGATAAAAAATGTGGCGCGCAGGTGTTTGTGCACGCTCGCCCACGGTAACGTCAACAGCAGTTCTTATCTATTTCTAAATATCATCTTCCTTTTGTTTTTATTTTGGAAAATCCGGAATCGTGTTGATCAAAGAAGTAGACCAGGATCTTGGATCGCAAAAAAAAAAAAAGCTCGAATTTTCAGCTTTTATAAGGGTGAGAATAATCGTTTTGTATAGTAAAGGCATGTCCAACCTCTAAAATTTTGATTTCGGTTCTAAATCATGAATTATGAGAAAAAAAGTATTTTGGAAAATCCGGAACCGTGCGTAGCTGGATTGGACTGGACTTCAATTAACTGGATTTTTCGGATCGTAAACAAACATTTACGCCGAATTTGCAACTTTTTTTCTACGGGTTTTATTTTAATATGTATATTTAGTGATTTGATGCAAAAATTTTGCAAAAAAAATAAGATTTTTTAATGATCGAAAACATATTCTTGGATTGCACGCTACTTCATCAAAATATTGATTGGACGGAAATACGTCATAAGACGAATCAAAAAGTATGACTTCCGGTACCTCTTTAGGTAGATATTCCAGTGAGAAATGAACATTCTCGTAGGGAGGCAATGTGCCCATGTTAGGAGCAATACTGAACACCCCTTGTGCGTCTGCAGTACGATGTACACGAGAAGACAACTGCTGACTAGTGGATACTCCTAACTCGTCAGTTTGTTGGCAAGGGAAGAAAGGTTTGAATAACTTCCAACGGAATGGTAAGGCAACGTTCCTGGAGAAAGAAAAGCGAAAATATTATTCCTATTCATCAACACGTCAACGCCAGCAAGACATTCCAACCGAAGTGGAATGGACCAAATCCACTTGGGCGTAATGTAGTTTTCGCTCGTTTGTGCTTGGTGGTCGCTCAACTAATAAAGAAAAAAATCCTACAGAGAGCGAAGTAGAACCGACTCATGAGTTCAGTCTACAAAAAAAACATGACAAGAAAAAAAGCTATCAAAACGATGATTTTCTTACGTGGTATTTTTGATAGTAAGTTCCTTTGCTGTGTGGGTTTTGGGGTTTTGATCATCAAAACGAACGAGAAACTGCGAAGAAACGTCTTTTAGCTCGCCAATATCATGCTTACTAGTACCACCACTGATGGATACAAACTCTATCCCTGCCGTCTGTCCAGTACCTGAAGAATCAACAACCTTCGATATGAAATGTACTCACACTTGTACTAAAATGATATTATAATAGGCTGCTTCTTCACTATAGTGATGGAGTTGTGAAACATTTAAAAGCGAAGTATTGAAAAAAATGATAAAAATATTATATAAGGAAAAAATGTAAAATATCAAATTCCATGCATTGTAAAGCTCCAAAAGAAATTAGATTTAAACTGGGAAATCTTAGAGCATTGTTTACTGTACTTCATTGGGATACAATTTATATCTTAATAAAAACTTACCTTCTACAGTCAGCACTTTTATATGGCAATTATCGCATACCATGATCATCTCTTTCTTAAAGAACTTAGCGGCAGACGGGCAGAAAGTCACCTAAAAAATCCAAACTTTTATTGCAACGGTCATATCTATAAAGTTCTAGCTTTGATTGGTTTAACAGATATTGTCAATTCCGCGCCGTGTCAGTCAWAGTATCAGAAGCGTTTTAGCAAAGATACAAAACACGCGCACGTGCTGTGTAAAATTACAGTACGTACGCGCTGATTGTGGTCGAAAACAAAACCCTCCTACGGCTCGTGCTTCTCTTTCGTGCTTACGTCACTTCATGCGTGCTTTATTACTGAACGGAGCACGGAAAAAGCTGTTTCGTATTTGTTAAATAAAGCGCGCGGGAGAGGATTGGCCAAAAAAACGAGAGAAGTGTTAGGAGAAGCAGAACGCACTTTCATTACTTGCGATATAAATAACTGAGAAAGCAATGTATATCGTTAGAAGCAGTCATTGATGTGACGTACTAGAATAGAGATTGGGATTTAGCCTCCTCCGCAGGCTACTCGCTAGGGTTTTTGTTCCGCTCGGTCAAAACTCTTCCAACTCAGGAAGCCCGGTATAGGAAAGAGAGAGAAAAGGGGGATTATAATGGGGATTATACATAGTTTGATTTCCTACCTCTAGATCGATGGTCTCTCCACTCTTCAATTCAAACATTGCTGGTTTGACTTCAAAAGGGGCAATATCTAAGAACCCAGGGTTATCTAGACTCCACTAAAAAACAAATCAAATTATCAAAATATTAATACTGATTAATTTCATACTGCTCTTATCAAAAAAATATCATTTATATCATTAATATATGACAGCCTTTTTTGCTTCTTTCCACTTGGATAAGTAATCTTAATGCTCTTCCATCTGAGCTACGAGGTCAGCCTGAGTGTAGGCCGTGGTAAAACTGATGATATACAGTCAATGCCATTAACGTTGTCCACCAAAAAAAGACATTTACACATTTAGACGTTTAGACTAAAAGAAATATCACGTGTTTCCTCGAAGGTTCTGGAATAAAACAAATGCTGAAATACCATTCTCCATCTTAAATCCTCACTAAATGGTCAGGGCATTCTAGATTTTCGATTCACGTGTTGAATTTTACATTTAAAGTTCAGGCTGACGCACACGAGGCAAAGAATACATAATGAAACACGTGATATATCTTTTAGTCTAAATGTGTAAATGTGTAAATGTCTTTTTTCGGTGGACAACGTTAATGACATTGACCGTATGTGAGGAATAATGCGCTGCCGAAGGTTGACGTCGTGGGTTGACCCTCTTATGTAGGTTGAGTTTGTTTGATGTTTTGTTCTCTCCCCTATCACAAGGTTTTTCTCCGGGTTCTCCATAAAAATATACAAGCGTACTCAGTGTTGTACAAATTTTATGATATGTGACGCAAATAGACCGTTTTCTCAAGGTTGCGTGCGCATCCAAATTTAAAGAACTTGGATGCGCACACAACCTTGAAAAAACGGTCTGTTATTGAACGTTGAGGTAGGCTACAGTATGTGCAATGAATGTTATTGGGAGTATTAAATATAATCTTTCAATGTGTGTGTAAGTATACATACAATCGAAGCTTTTTTACTGACTAAACAGTGTTATACATGTAAACATTAAACATCTAGCCGATTAGTATACCAATCGATTAATGATTCTAGACTCACAATACGATAAACTTGTCTCGCGATACGATAGACTCGTCTCGCGATACATATATACAATATATAGATTATCAATTTACCTTGGAATAGGTTGTAGGCCAGTCAGATTTACTCATAAGAAAAAACTGCCCCTCTCCTCCCTGGTTGGTACAAGTGAAATGTACAGTCTTTTTACCTCCAACAAGGGTGTGGCCACAGTCAAGGACACTAGACACTAAAAATGAATATTGTACTTAACTTGTACCATATTTCAAAGAAAGAGAAATATCCTAGACCACTTAAGCTTGTGCATAATTTTTTTCCTCATTTCAGAGCAGTGTAATTCCCTTCTTTGAGAATGGGTGTTGCTTTGTAATGATTGTTTGCATCTTTATATCCATATTATAATAATAATTAATTTTGTTTTTAGAGGATACCACTTGACAGTGAATTTTTTTAACTGATAAACTCACGGTCCTCTTTTAACATCTCTCGTTAATTAGGGATGGGACAGCCATTAACGTGATTATCCGAGCCACGTTAAGGTCTAACCATTTGCAGATGTAATTACAAAGGCACCTTCTCTCCAGTCATTTTAATTTAGGCTTGAACCACAACCTCCCGCATAACAGACCGATGCCAGTGGCGGATCCAGGACTTTAAGAGGGGGGGTTCATTTTTGCAAATCTCAGCACAACAATAACGTTCTCTTGCATCATCATTTTTCCCATGAGGCACATCACTGGCCTAGGGGCGCTCCTGATAAGGATAACCTATCCACCAG